GCTTCCGCGCCAGTTTCCGATGTGATTTTGCCGAAGAGCAAAGGTGCCGACTACCGCCACCTGATTGCCGAGGCTCGATCGCAGATGCAGTCGAGTACTTTTATGAATGTTTTTCCGTCTTTGGATGATGTTCTTCCGAGTAAGTGTGCGCTATCTCTTTTGATTTGTTATAATAGTTCAGCTTGTTTGCAAATTATAAGCCTTCGGAATGGTTGCTGATTTGAACTTGCGAATGTGCTATTTTTGGAAGTGAAAAATATAAGTCCCAGTCGGTTTGGTAGATTGTAGAGTTGCTGTAATTGATGGTCGGAGGTGGGGTTGAATATCCTTTGCCACATGCAGGAAGATGGTTCCAATGCTAACTAACAATTCGGTTTCTCTACGCATTATGACATAATCTTTTATTGTATCCACCGTCCTTATTGGGTTGTTTAAATCTCCAATGAACATAGAAAAGAGAAATATGTTCTTTGTTTTGATAGATCCTACGGAGCATCCAAATTTCTGTTTAATTGTTAGCTTCAACGAGTAGTGTTTGGATCTTAATATCAAGATTGAAGGGCTTGATATGGAAGACTTATATGCATAATCTAACAGGAGAGTTAAGTAGTGGAGGATCTGCTATGCTTGCAGCGAAGGGGGAAGGCATATTGTCCTGGATTGAAGATAATACTTTCGTCGTGGATGAAAAAACTACTGCAACTCCTGAGGTAATTAGTCAATTGTTTTATATTTTTGTGTCGATAATGCATTAAATTATTGAGCTTGCTGTAGAATTTAGATTTAGTTTTTGACCTATAAACAATAAGATTACATCTTAAATGGTTATCATCAGCAGACTTCTTCATACACACGCGTGCATACACACATATATATATGTATGTATGTATGCATATATTTGTCTTTGTAGTGTATGTTGGACTTGAGGACCTGAAAGTCGAGTCTAAACAATTCTGTGTTAAAGAACTTTTGTTTTGAAGTAAATGTTATTATAAGATTTTAGACTTGTCCTGTTTTCTTTTCCGTTGAAGCACTATCAATTCCTTTCAGCCATTTGAAATGTGTATGACTGTGTTATGTTCTTGCCAAATGGAGTGCTCTAGCTAAGTTTTTTTTTTTTTTTTTTTTTTTTTTTTTTTTTTTTTTTTTTTTTTTTTTTTTTTTTTT